ACGGTTATGCAGGACCGTACGATACGGATATCGGTTTCTATTAGGAGCAAATGCCAAAACCGATATTCGTTCTGTAAGCTACGGATTTTTTTTAGAGAGTACTGTCATAATAGAGCAATTTGGTGGTATACACGTGATTGATCTCTTTAACGTATGCTTAATAAGACATTGAGAGTACAAGACGTTGAAACTCATTACAAAATGCGTTTTTTTATTGCCAATCTTCATCATAAGCTACAACGGTTAAATGGTGATCGAGAACATTCGTTAATGATCATTTATCGTGGGCAAAGCATGTTGAGAGAAGAATTTGAAGGAACAGTAAAAAGTGATATTGGCGATTACGCTCGGGGTTAACAACCGATGAAAAAGTTCGTGAGAGTGACAAATGATTGCAACCGTCTATCATAACATGTGGCGGACACTTGAAAGCAGCACAGTTATTATTGATTTGGAGGCTATCAGATGTTTAATGAATCGCTTGCAATCACAACGGTTACCCTTCCTATCAAATATCTTTTGTTTACTGATACGTACCGCGAAACGACTGATAAATTGGCTGCTCATGGTAAATTTGATGAAACATTGGTCATTCAGAGAAAAGCGTTGGCAATATTAGCGAAAGCATTCACCCCCCGGTCACTCCTTTGTCACTGAATGTCAAACTAGTATCAGAACTCTTTGCAAAATAGAAAATGGAAGAATCACAGGGCACAAGTTTCTTTACGTCTGATTCTAAACACATGATCAGAACTATTTAACTTCTCAATGCGATCAACGGTTTCAATGAAACAATTCTAACTTTCCTTTTCCGGAACCAATTATTTCAAAACTAAAAGCATTTCTTAAAATAGGTTTTTGAAACGGTACGTTGGTTTTTGGGTAAGTGGTAGTATAAATGCGTAAAGACTATGCATGATGCAATTCGCAACCTTTAGGAGCATGATACTGCTAGGTCTGTCTACAATTTAAGTAACGCAAGAAAAAAGTTGTTGAAAACTTAATACTACAATTGGTGCCAGAAAATAAGACAGATGGCTGCCTTTTGAATAACTTTGGATAGGAGATAGACGGAGACCTGCGGTTTTCACTATTCGATAGCCAAGACTTGTAGACATCTTTCCAAGCAAAAATGTTTTTTTTGAAAAAGGTTCAAAGATCGGATTTTGGGCAGATCATTGGAAAACCAGTTTGAATCTCCGAGAACTGACACAGAAACAGGTCGATCTTTGGACTATCTAGTCCAAAGTGTCCTCTACAAAATAAAAACTAAACAACTCCTTAATTTTTTCCCGTTCAGGCGTGGCATCGGATTTCTTGAGAGTCCTAAAGTCGATATTTCTTTAGGTGTGTTAATTTCGAAAACGAATGGAAACATAGGTAATCAACCACACTGAATCTTGCGGCAACGTTTATTTTTCAAAACACTTGCAAAAACCTAGTAAACACCTATATTAAGTGAAATAACCCATTTATGTCCATATATGAGTAAAATTAAGAAATTCATAACCTAACCAAGATCCATCCGAATTACGTCAGAATATCAAGATGTACTCTATTTTACCTGTTCTATGTGACGCAGCTCAAGAAACGCTAGAAAAGTCGACAAAAAATACTTAGATTTTTTGAAATGGTTTTCTAGAAAACTTCCGAAGTACAGCAATGTCTTTTGCTATTCTGAAGTAAAAGAAACATATGGGGTAGGTAAAATAGAGTACATCTTGATATTCTGGCGTAATTCGGATGGATCTTGGTTAGGTTATGAATTTCTTTCAGCGATGTCTCGAATCTGTATGAATGTGTGGTAGTTCAACGATGGGTTCATTCCCTACTTCACAGAAATAGAAGCTCGGAATAGCTAAATAATTTAAGTTACTCTTTTATATTGTTTTTTAATTGTGTGCTATAAATTCTTTCTAAGAAAATGAAAAAAAATCACACACTTTTTTTTTATTTTTACAATTTTGAATTGTTTTTGCCACAAATCTCAATAAGTGCGTCGATTTTA